ACCTGTAGCTTACATCTTGTGAGATTATTGTGTTGGATAGGTGTGAATGCCGTCATGGTTATATAGAACGAGGCGTTAGCTATACGAGCAAATTTAGTTCTATAGCTGCTCGAATGAGCAAGTAATCCATTAATTCCCCATGAAAGAGGACTCCTCTTTAACTGTGTCTCACCCAAAGGGTGCTGTGTTCAGGACTGCCAGGCTGAAAGTACTGCCTGGCAGACACCTGCAGGGCAAGGTTCCCATGACCCTGGGCACTGTGAACCTTTTCCTGGTCTCCTCACGCTTCTCAATGGGAAGATAGAAGTCACATTAACTCTGGGCTCTCTCTCTCTCTCTTCTGCAGAGGTCATACGGACACGGCTGCGGGAAGAAGGCACTAAATACAAGGCCTTCATGCAGACGGCCCGGCTGGTGGCACGTGAGGAGGGCTACCTTGCTTTCTACAGAGGACTGTTTGCCCAACTCATCCGGCAGATCCCAAACACAGCCATTGTGTTGTCCACCTACGAGTTAATCGTGTATTTGTTAGAAGACCATGCAAAGTAGCAGAGCCAAGACTACTCTGATGGACTGTAGACCAATTTTTTCATTGAACAAATAGTCCTTTAAGAGACTGATGCAGGTGGCAGGGTGGGTGAAAACCTATGAGTCTCTGATTACCTGCTGGATATTTTCCTTTTGGATTCATGCTTTCTGAAAGGTCTCAACTCATTAACGTTAATAGTTAATTATAACTTTTTTTAACTTAATGATAAAAATTAAACAGCTACTTAAATTAAATTACACTATTTAATTTATGTTTGTCCCTTTCCTTAAGCACAGCCATATGTGGTCAAGGAATGTACCTTGTACTGTCAAGTGGACTGATGTTCATTAAAACTATATTAAAACAGAAGAGGAACTGGTTTGGAAATGTGAAACTCAGGCTTCCTACCACTGGTGTCCTGTTGCTTTTTAACGCTATAATAGCCTAATGCCCAAATAACTTCGTTGTTCAAGGTGCATCATATTCATTGCTATAGGACCTTCCTGGGGTGTTCAAGTGGGACTCTTTAGTTGAAGTGTTCACACCAGAATCTCTTAGAAAAGCTGCCTGCACTGGTAACATCACTGAAATAGGGTTGTGGGAACCTCTTCAGTAAAACTTACTTACTTACTGTGCACAACTATGGCCTTAGATACATATTTGAGTTATTGTGTGTAAATTAATCTCTTATAAGACTGACTGCTCTTAGCTGAGAGATCTGATAGGACCCCAGCTTTAAGGAGCGTGAATCCATTTTTGGATTCTGCTTTATAGTATGACGTTTGAGAATAATCACTTTAGATTCGCTATCCTTTGTGGAGCAGTGCTTCTGGTGGGAATGAAATGTTAGCTCATGGACGTGCCACTGGAGTTACGGCAAACACCCCAAAATCCATGTTTTATGTAACTAGTTCTCTTAAATCTCTACGGACTTCCAATACTGAAGGAAAGAAGGATCTGCTGGTCTAGTACAGAACAGCTCCTCTATTTGTTCCTCGCAGATACTGTGTCTGCCTTCTCCTCCCTAGGCACAGTATCAAAGGGGTATTCTTCAACAGTAGCGTGAAGTTCTTGCCTTGCAGTTATAAACAAGATGCACTGCATACCTGAGATAACGTTTAGGAAATTACAATGTGCTGCTTTCTTTAGTACAACTCCTGTTGCAGCAATTCCTTGTGAGAAAGGGTTGTCTGTGTTTAGTTCCTGATAGTGCTGGAGTAAAATACCTTCACAATTTAAGGTTAGATTTGTGCTTCGCATTGGTCGTGTTATGTTCTCCTATTCATTAGTGTCATTTGCTTTGACAGCTGAGACAAATGCTGCAACACTTGAGCCCAGCTTCAGCCTTTCCTGCTGCTGAACCAAACAAAAAGCCTCTTATGACTTGAGCAGGTGTTGAGTTCTTGAGCTTAAGCAAGTGTCTGTGGACATCTCTGCCCTCGAGACTTGTTCACAGCAGAGGTGATGTTTGGAGTCGGATTGTGCAAAGTATTAGGAAGCTGCCTAGAAGTGAGCAGGGCTCTTTTTGAAGAGGCCATTTTTCAGGCTTTTATTTTGTTGTAGAAATGCAATGAGTTGATAAATGGATTCAAACCTCCACTAGAACCTAGCTGGCATAAGGTTACCCCACTGGGACTTGGTGTCTCATATGACATCCGTGTGATGGTGAAACACGCTGCAAAGAGGCAGCAGGGAGTATGTGTGTGTATACCCCATAATGAGGCAAAAAGGTGCAAAAAATAACTGATTTCTACAATGTCTCACTAAAAAGAACATAACACTTTACCCATAAACTAAAATAAGAAGCAGCTGAGTAACTAAAAATGAGCATGATTTTTTTTTTAAATAGAGATGATGAGCAGCAAAAGCTTTAAAGCCTCCTCTCAGAAGTCAGAAACTGTCATACATGACGGTACTATTTTTGATAACCAGGCCACTTGCACTGCTGCTTTGCAACTTTTCTTTCTGAGATTTGCTGCCTTAAATTAGTATTTCCTATGTACTTAAGCACTGGGGCTTTAGTCAAATGTGTGGATTTCTGATGCCTTTTGAGAATGAGGGAGGAAACTGAATGACTCTTTAAGAGACTGGGACTTGGTAAGAGTCAAAGCAGACAGATTTGTACACCACTTGGATCTGGTGGAGAATTAAGAATTCAGATGTATTTTGTACCTTATTTGAGCTTTGCTACCAGCCCTGACAATCTTAATTGAATGGGGATTTGATAAGCTGTATTGGGAGCACTTTTGAATTAGTAATTTAATTTTCTCTTCTTTATCAGAATCCTAAAAAAACCCACCAAGTCTGAACTCGTTAACCCTGTCAAGAGCTAACATATTCAGCTGGTGTTCTGTGAGCTGTCCCACTGATGTCACTGAGCAGACAGTAAGCCTGTTATCAGAGGGAACATTTGGGAATAGTTCTTCCAAAGGGATATCTGAATTTAAAAATAACCAACCTCTCTTTGGTTTTGAAAGAAAAATGTCAAGCATTTTTCACTGTCTATGCCACTTACACAGCTGCCCCAGAACAACAGCTTCATGGGGAGCAGATGAACTGGTCACTTGCTTGGGTTTCCTGGACCTTCCAAAGACCCCAGATGTGAATTCTCAGGTGAGAAAACCTTGGTCTTATCTGAAGTGATCACAGAGTTCCCATTTACTTTATTAAGGACCAAGTCTGCGCCCATTCATAGATGAACCAAACAAAGGGGGAAAGAGATGGGAAGAAACTCTCCCCATTCCTTTCATCAAGAGCAAATAACCACTGTTATTCTGTGAAAAACTTTTCCACAGTCACATCAATGGAGCTGGAGATAGGAGGGTTAGCGCCACAACCACACCCCAGACAAACTTAAAAATACAGCTAGCTTTAAGTATCAATCCTCGTCTATGAAGAACTGTCTGCTACAGCCTAACCGGGGCTGCTTCCTTTGAGCTTTTTAAAACATTATGTTGAGACACCTTGGTTCCCTGAATTTTGAGCTGTTTCTGTCTGTGGCACTGAGGGTTTCTGTTCGTTTCCAACCAGGAAGGAGAGCTGTGCAGCTGGAGGCAGGCTCAGGGCCGTGTTTTGCAGGGGGGTCCCCGAAGCAGGGCCCGGGTGTCAACGCCAGAGCGTGGAGCCGGCGGCGCCTGCTGCGAGGGGCAGCGCGGGGCCGGGCCAGGACCACTGCCCTTCCCAGGGGGTGCTCCCCAAAAGGCACCCAGGGAACCTTCCCGAGGGGGGCTTAACGTTTTCTGCAAAGCTGCCTTCTTCATCCGTGCATTAGGATGTATGTGTCATGAGGGACAGTGCAGAGCAGCAGCCCTCGGGCTCACGGGGAGCTGCCAGGAAGGCAGCGTTGCCAGCAGCACAGAAAGGGACCCCAAAAGGGTGAAGGCTCCTGCTCTGGCCCCTGCGCTGTCCTTGGAAGCACCTTCCACTCCTGCGGTTATCTGGGGAGGCTCAGGGTGCCCGGGAGGCTCCGTGGTGCGCAGGCCTGGGCTCCGGGCTCGCTGCCCCCCGGTTTGTAGCGAGGCTCAGAAGCCCTTGGGGTTCCCCTGTGTCCCCCAGTTCCTAACTCAGCTCAGGAGCCCTTGGGGTTCCCCTGTGTCCCCCAGTTCCTAACTCAGCTCAGAAGCCCTTGGGGTTCCCCTGTGTCCCCCAGTTCCTAACTCAGCTCAGGAGCCCTTGGGGTTCCCCTGTGTCCCCCAGTTCCTAACTCAGCTCAGAAGCCCTTGGGGTTCCCCTGTGTCCCCCAGTTCCTAACTCCGCTCAGGAGCCCTTGGGGTTCCCCTGTGTCCCCCAGTTCCTAACTCAGTTCAGAAGCCCTTGGGGTTCCCCCCGTGCCCCCCAGTTCATAACAAGACTCAGAAGCCCTTGGGTTCCCCTGTGCCCCCAGTTCATAATGAGGCTCAGAAGCCCCTGGGTTCCCCCCCATACCCCTTGGTTAGTAAAGCAGCTCAGGAGCCCTTGGGTTCCCCCGTGTCCCCCAGTTCCTAACGCGGCTCCGAAGCCCTTGGGGTTCCCCTGTGTCCCCTAGTTCCTAACGCAGCTCAGGAGCCCTTGGGGTTCCCCTGTGTCCCCTAGTTCCTAACGCAGCTCAGGAGCCCTCAGGCTCCCCCGCGCCCGCCCGGGCCGCCGGCGGTGGCCTGGCGCCTCTGGCCCGCCGCCAAGAGCGTGACCAGGAGCGTGCGGGGCGGCGCGGGCCCCGCCGCCAGCAGCGCCCCCCCGCG